TTTGTATCTGTGCAGTTCTTTGTCATACATACAGTTTACAAAAGGTCTCGAGGGAGCAATTGGTTTCCCATCTAACGTTACTGTAAAATTTTCGCTGCGTTCACCCCTCATCACACCACAGCTGTTTCCTCCAGCGAAAATCTAGCCCTCAACACATATGAACACATACTTTATAAAACGATCATGTTGCTATTTTCATTTGAAAATGTTATATTTAATATATAACATATTACAGTGCATGTGGCATACTATACACATTCACGGAACTGATTAAAGACAGTGACAGACAGCACTCAATTCACTAACTAAATATCAGAGTGATTGACAGAGATACAGTAGAAATATTATGTGTGGTTTTGTATTAAATATTGTTTTGTATTAAATAATGACCCAGATCGTGAAATATATTTATTAGCCTTAGAGTAAGGGATGCACAACTCAGGAAATGAGAGCATCCTAGGAGCATGTGAATGCTATGTATATTTATTTTTAATGTTCTTTAATGTTATCCATTGTTTATTGTGTGGCTCTTTTTTTAAAGTATCGGTTCAGGCACTGGTACCATTTTAAAAGTATCGATTTGGCACCTGTATCGTAAAAAACCCTATCGATACCCAACCCTATATCATCTGAAAGTTGAATAAGTAAGCTTTCCATTGATGTATGGTTTGTTAGGATGGGACAATATTTGGCCGAGATACAAGTATTTGAAAATCTGGAATCTGAGGGTGCAAAAAAAAAAAAAATCTGAATATTGAGAAAATCGCCTTTAAAGCTGTCTAAATGAAGTCCTTAGCAATGCATATTACTAATCAAAAATTAAGTTTTTATATATTTATGGTAGGAAATGTACAAAATATATGGAACATGATCTTTGCTTAATGTCCTAATGATTTTTGGCATAAAAGAATAATCGATCATTTTGACCCATACAATGTATTTTTGGCTATTGCTACAAATATCCCTGTGCTACTTAAGACTGGTTTTGTGGTCCAGGGCCACATATATGCTCAGGTCTTAAAGTTGTCTTTTAAAACAAAAAGGTTCCAATATATGTTACTTAAAAATATTGTATAATCTGAAAAAATGACAAAGTAGGGAAGTCTAAATTCTCTTTAGTTTCACCTTCATTTTTGTTTTCCGATGTGAGCTTCTTGTGTGTTTCTTTGTCATTATTCATTGAGCGCTTTGCATGCATGTTTGATGGTAATTTGTTAACAATAGTTTATGCAGGGGTGCCAAATCCTGTTTCTGGAGATCTACCTTTCGGCAGAGTTTGATTCCAACCCTGCTTCAACACAACTGTCTTTGAGTATGTTTCTGAATATTTTGGTGCATGTGTGTTTGATTAGAACTTAACTTTGCAGTAAGGTGGATCTACAGGAACAGGTTTCATGCATTGAGTATCATGTTGTTTACAGCATTTATTCATATAGGTTAATGTTAATTCATAAATAAACAATTGTTAATTGTTAATTCAGGTTTGTTCATAAACTTTGAAGTTTAATTGGAATTACATGAAACATTACAATAAAAAAAAATAATATTAGCATATGTAGGAATAAATATTATTAACCAAGATGCTGTGAAAGTATTGTTTAATGTTAGCTGATGCTAAGTGCTGATGCCAGTTTTCTATTTCCTGATCATTTTGGGAGAGAAAAAAAGTCCATTATACAGTTTTTGCCATTTATTTTGCTTTATTATAGTCATCACTCATTTCACAAAAATGAAATGTAAAGAATTTTATTTTGCATTGCTAAAGAAGAAACAAAATGCTCAAAATGCCCTGAAAATGCCCTGAGAGATAATAGTTATAGAACAAAAAGCTGAATGGTCCCATCTTTCACCAATATATATATATATATATATATATATATATATGTTTTTTGCAATTTATCTGGAATTGTAGCAGTATAGCAGACGCACTGAACGGGATCTTTTATCCACTGGTCTTCTGGTTTTCACATGTAACTGGAGTGCATTTGCAGCTCTCTATGTAGACGTAGTCATGATCGATCACACTGTCATCAGAACACTTCAGCTGCACTTTTTTAATGCTGGTTTTCATCTCCTGACAGCAAGAACAGCTGTGCATCATGATGTTGGCGCCCATTGAATACCTTTGTGGATTTCCAAGAAAAACACCAGTCAGTTGAGCATAAAAAAAACGCTTCCAATATACAAGTCTGTGTTAAAGTTGTAATATAGCCCTGTTTACAGCTGGAATTAACAATCATTCAAAATGAGTATGCAAGTATGAAGTATATTTCACAAGAACTCATGTCAGTGTGCTCTCACATTGATTCTGTGTCACAGTGGCCACTGCAGGAAGTCACTTCTATGGGATGGATGGACTTGCAGTCATTTACAGTAACATCTGTGGTGTTCTTCACACGAATACAGTTCTTGAGCTCACCTGAGATATTAGAGGTAATAGGAGATGATATAAATATATTTTTGGAACAATTTAAAATACTGGGACTTGTTTATAAAAAGCAGGACCATAAGGAAGTTTTGAACAAGGAAACAATTTCTTACAGGTATTGCAACATCCATTTGCATCAAGTTTCAGCGTTCCCTGTAAGGACAAATAGGGCTTTGTTTAAACATCATATTCATAGTTAAAGGGATAGTTCACTTAAAGTTTGTATTGGTCCAAACCTGTGTAATTATGATAAAGCAAAATACTATCCAAATGGTTTTGTCTGTACAAAGTCAATGGGGTTCAAAACAACATTAGAATATTTTCTTTTGTGTCCCACAGATGAAAAATTCACACAACATGAGGGTGAGTAAATGTTGACAGAAGTTACAACACCTTTTAAGCTGAATTATTTAAGCACTACACATGGAAAAAAACCCCCGACATGCTTTACCTTTCAGTGTTGGAAGATTCAACAAAATTCAGAAACAAACAGAACAAGTGTGTCATGTTTGGAACTTGAGCTAAAGATATTAAACTCACAGGCACACACTCATATGGATTGATCTCAGGACAGGTTGGTATGGTCTTCTCTATCACAAATGTGTCATTAATTTGTTGACAGGTCACAGTCTCACACTTGTAGTTGTGTGTGTCTCCAATCTACAAAAAAAAAAAAAAAAGATCTAATAGCTGAACAGATCTGGTGAACTGAATGTGTGAAGAAACGTTTGAGAATATGCACCTTGAGAATATGTGTGGTGTTGTCTGGCGCAGTATAAAAACAGTTATTTGGCTTGCATGTTTCACAGCATTCTCCTTCTTGTTTGACTGGCAGAAAGCCCTTGGAGTACAAAAAGCAATTTTATAATTTAGATGTTTATATACTTATAGTTTAGAAGTTGATATAATGGTTCCCAAGAATAAATTGTAATTATTACATCAGGGCAAGGTGCACAGGCTATAGAAGCGCACATGACGAGATGTAGTTGGGTCTGTGGGTCTTTATCCATTAGACAGTTACATTCGACGCAAGGATCTGTGGGGATTTTAACTCCAGGCTAGAAGAAAACAGAGATTATCTAGTCAGAAAAGTGTAAAATACTAACAGTATTATCTTTTGTTCCATTTTAAATATCAGGATTTGCCCAAATTAACTTTATTAGTATAAGCAAATTAACCCAGTAGCTTACCTGGTACTCAGTGTTATTGTACACACATACGTCTTTGGGCACTGAAAATAATAAAAATCTATTTTATAAGCCATTAAACCAGTTCAATAATAATTTAGCCAGTTTAAAGAAAAAGTGTAATTTGTGTTAAGCAGTTCATTTTTATGTCTTAATAAAATATTAAACTCACAATGTGTAAAGATAGAAATCATATTAGTTAGCCTTTTAAATAATTACACTACTGCTTTGAGCAGATGTTGCTATTTTTGCCATGTAAAAAATAGAAAATGTCATATTCCAGATTCTCTTCAGATTGCATTTGTATAGAAATACATCTCAAAAGGTACTGCCTGATAGGAATGACTCGTTTTTTTGTAGGACAGCTAATTGTTTAACATTTAAATCCACAGAATGATATGTGAGACTTACCACAGGGTGGACAGCAACTGTCTTCAGATTTATTTGCTGCCAACTCGTATCCCACATCACATTTCTTCTGAAGACACAGCTCGAGATCACACACTAAATGGGTTGAGAAATAGGGAGTCTTATAAATGATTTTTGAATGCATTTGTGTAGGGACAGTTCAATAGTGGCAGTAATTGTGAATCATTTATTTGCTTCAAGCAAGTTTAGTCTTGACTCACCGCAGGTTGGGCAGCAGTTTTCAATTATTTTCTTTTGTTCTGGTCCACAGGGCTTTTCAGCCGGACACCTGACAGGCACAGTTTTAATACCAAAGGTCTCATTTGAGCATGTGTATTCATGACAGCTCATGGTCCATGTATCCCCAGGCTGCAGCAGGAAAAACAACAAGATCCCTTGGTGATTATGAATAGCAAATGCTAACTGAAATATTATTATTTTTTTATATACATCTTGTTTTGCCTATACATACCTGTCTAGGTAATCCATCAGGGCCGATGCAATCTACATGGAGGGAATGAAAATGAAATCAGTGGAAATAAGACGTGAATGTGCATTAATCTAGCAAACAGAGAAAATAAGGAACTACAGTAAGTAAATAAAGCAACATGTCTTACCGCAATAAGATGTACAGGTATCTATCGTTGAACTAACTAGGTATTTATCGTCAGGACAGTAACAGCCTTCCGTGACTGTTTGATGACAGTTATTGTCTTGACAGTCTTTCTCCACAAACATATCATTGTACCTATAGTTTTAAGTTAACAGAAGCACATCAGATAATGAAGTATTACAATTGCCGCACTTACTAATGACTGTTGTTTTGTAGATATGAGATGTGAGCTTACCTTGTACTGCAGGTTTTTTCAACTTTAGGACCACATGCCTTATAGACTTTGTGACTGGGGCACTTGTATTCTGTTATAGAAATCAATGACAATTATGTGTCAAGTTCCTCTCAAGTACAACATATTTAAAAAAAAAAAAACACCCAAAAATACTCAAATGGTTAGGTTCATTCTGCTTACCACACTTTTTCGTGAGTTCATTTGATGTTCTCCAGTCTACACAGATACCCTCTTTGCCACATAGCAGAGCGTATGCCTCCAGACTGGTACAACCAATAGAGCTATTTGTCATGTGGCACACATCATATCTGCATGCCTCATAATAATTTTCATAAGGAACGACCCCATGGCATTTCATAAACATACTGTGAAGAAACGTATACTACATTTGACTTTTGATTTCAGGCATCTTAAAGGCACAGTGCAGCCAAAAATGAAAATTCTGACATCTTTTACCATGATGTTCTTTCAAACCTGTATGACTTTGTTTATTCTATTTTTGCACCGAATAAAGAAAGTCAAACACATTTGGAACAACTTGAGGGTGAGTAAATGATGACAGTTTACTTGCAGGAAAAAACGCTTTGTAATAATCAGTTACCAACAGAAGTGATTAACATTTTTTGCTTTTCCTTACTCGCTCTTGATGAGATCACAAATCGTCACATTGCAGGAAATAATTGGAGTTGGAGATGGAGGTTGAGGTTGAGGTGTTTTGCATCCTGGGGGGACCATCCAAAGCCGTGCCATGTTCACACATGATGGGTCGATTTGTCCATCGGGACGTCTGCAGTCATTTGTACGGTTGTTGTCACAAACCCCTAAAAAATTTAGTTTTAATTATAGTTAATCTGAATTTAGTGAGCAAGTAATGGGACAATTAAAAGTAAATTTATTATTAACATTCAGGTAGAGAGAATTCTTTTTTTTTTTTTTCACTGGTAAATGTAAAATGAAACTGACACATACAGTATTCTTTGTTCCCATCTCTCAGATATTTTTCTATCTGTACTCACCGCACTGTCCCTCTGTATTACCATGGAAGTAGGAGAATGGGAGATTGATCTCAAAACCTTGATGATTCACAGAAATGTCAACTTTGATTTCAGTGATGTTCACAGTTACTGCCATGCCAGAGGTGGTGATGAAGAAGTCATTATTTATGTAAGTTAGTTGTTTCATTTCATCATTAACATAGACCTGAGGGAAACAAGGCCTTTCTGTATTATCATGACAATTATTCTCTAGAGTAAAATTTTTAGGTATTTTTTATATTCAATCAGAAACCTGTGAATGTTTTGCTGTAGTCCTAAGACTTACCTGGACCACTTTAGTGTTGCTAGTCAGCTTGATTTTATAAGATTTGTAGTTTACAATCACATACTCAGGGCAGGCGAGATTATTTTTAACATCACAAAAATAGTTTTTAACATGGACACTGATATTGTATCTTGGGATGATTTCTTGGAACAAAACATAAGTGCAGTTTCCCTGGAAAGCATAGTATGTTCCATCGAATGTTTTGTAATGTGGGTCACCCCAGCCACTGCATTTACCTGCCAAAACAAATTACACCAAAAGTAAACATAAGGCACAGGCTAGGATTAATCACATTTACTTAATATAAATATTTAATATTAATGAAATGTCCATGAGCATGATTTAAACTCACATTCACACTCATACTTAAAGCAGCAGCCATTGTTATAAGACACATTCGTAGGTTTAATTCCATTAGTACATGTAGGTATGGCAGATTTGACACACTGTAGAGGTTTTGAGGTGACATTGCCATTTATGCATGTTTTGTTTGCGCAGTCTTCAATCCATGACTCCATATGCTGAATGACACAATCAGATCGATGAACAGAGACTAATCAAAAAACTAATTATAATTAATTTCAGGTATTTTTTAAATTTCTTAACAATTAGTACTCCAGTCATCTAGTAGTTATACAATACGTAATTAATTTAGTGTTGTATTAATAACAAATAATAATTATAGGCTATTTTTGTATTGTTCATTTTGAAAAAAAAAAAATACATCCAGAAAATTTGTAAAAAATTGTAAGTGTTGCTGCATAAGTGTTCTGCTATTGTACTCTTATGAAAATACCTTTCTTTTAACTTGTGCACAGTCGTTTATTCGGGGTGGTATGCATTTCTGAGACTGTATCACTATACCACAGGTGGAGTTGCAGTAGGCAGTATAGCACCAACCTGCTTGATCTGTTCGATTGTAGATTGTTGAATCTGTAATTATAATAAAAGGATGTGCAAAGGAGGTAAACAATAAGAGAGAATTAAAAAAAAAGTTGAACTTGAATGTAATGTAGGGTCAAGATAATGTACACATAAAGGATTAAACAAACTCTAAAGTTGGAACATTTTGTTTGAGAGAGAATAGTTAAAGCAGCACTTACTTGATGAGTATGTTTCATTTAAATATTTGCATGCGCACTGTGGTGATGGTGGATATGAGGTGATCCTGGGAGTTGTCCCTGTATCCACAGTGAACTTTGTTGTAGTAGGGAAGGTCCTTGTAGATGTCTTTGTTGATGTGGGTATCGTGCCAGTAATTGTACTAGTTGAAGATGATATTTCTGTTGATGTAGGTGTCATTGTTACAGTAGATGGTGTGATAGTAGTGGTTGTGTACGTTGATGTAGGTGTTGTAACAGTTGTAGGTACTGTTTCTGTTGACGTAGGTATCGATGTTCGAGTAGTTGGAGTAATAGTGGATGTGATTGTGGATGGTGTTTCTGTTGATGTGGGTGTTACTGTAACAGTTGTAGGTGATGTTTCTGTTGACGTAGGTATCGATGTTCCAGTAGTTGCAGTAATAGTGGATGTGAGTACTAATTGTGGATGGTGTTTCTGTTGAAGTAGGTGTTATTGTAACAGTTGTAGGTGATGTTTCTGTTGACGTAGGTGTCGATGTTCCAGTAGTTGTAGTGGTAGTGGATGTGATTGTGGATGGTGTTTCTGTTGATGTGGGTGTTATTGTAACAGTTGTAGGTGATGTTTCTGTTGATGTAGGTGTCGATGTACCAGTAGTTGTAGTGGATGTGATTGTGGATGGTGTTTCTGTTGATGTGGGTGTTATTGTAACCGTTGTAGGTGTTGGTGTTACAGTGGTTGTTGAGGTAGTGGATGTTAGTGTACTTGGAGACGTTGTAGTAGGAGTACACTGGTAGTCTGGTTCACAACATTTGACACGTATTTCATAATTATAACAAAGTGATGGCATGCCATTTGAATTGTCTTCATTTGAACATGACAGTCCAAATGATATATTGCAATAAAGTGTTTGTCCCAAATCTTGCAGAGACTTTTGGGGATAATTTACTGCCCTACATTCAATCACTTCAGGGCTCTGACAGATAATCTTTCCTGAATTCCACAATTCATCAATGGATTCAGTTTCGAATCCTTCTGGCTCTGTACTGGGTGTGTTGCCATCAATCCAATCTGACCATGTGCATCTATCAGCACAGATGGGAGTTGTTGTTGTAGCAGTAGTTGTACTAATTGTGGATGGTGTTTCTTTTGAAGTAGGTGTTACTGTAACAGTTGTAGGGGATGTTTCTGATGACGTAGGTGTCGATGTTCCTGTAGTTGGTTTAGTAGTGGATGTGATTGTAGAGGGTGTTTCTGTTGAAGTAGGTGTTACTGTAACAGTTGTAGGGGATGTTTCTGATGACGTAGGTGTCGATGTTCCTGTAGTTGGTTTAGTAGTGGATGTGATTGTAGAGGGTGTTTCTGTTGAAGTAGGTGTTACTGTAACAGTTGTAGGGGATGTTTCTGATGACGTAGGTGTCGATGTTCCTGTAGTTGGTTTAGTAGTGGATGTGATTGTAGAGGGTGTTTCTGTTGAAGTAGGTGTTACTGTAACAGTTGTAGGGGATGTTTCTGATGACGTAGGCGTCGATGTTCCAGTAGTTGGGGTAGTAGTGGATGTGATTGTAGATTGTGTTTCTGTTGATGTAGATGTTATTGTAACAGTTGTAGGTGATGTTTCTGTTGACGTAGATGTCGATGTTCCAGTAGTTGGAGTAGTAGTGGATGTAATTGTAGATGGTGTTTCTGTTGAAGTAGGTGTTACTGTAACAGTTGTAGGTGATGTTTCTGTTGATGTAGGTGTTACTGTAACAGTTGTAGGCGATGTTTCTGATGACGTAGGTGTCAATGTTCCTGTAGTTGGGGTAGTAGTGGATGTAATTGTAGATGGTGTTTCTGTTGAAGTAGGTGTTACTGTAACTGTTGTAGGTGATGTTTCTGTTGATGTACCAGTAGTTGGAGTAGTAGTGGATGTCATTGTGGGTGATGTTTCTGTTGACGTAGGTGTCGATGTTCCAGTAGTTGTAGTGGTAGTGGATGTGATTGTGGATGGTGTTTCTGTTGACATAGTTGTCGATGTCCCAGTACTTGTCGTGGTAGTAGTGAATGTGATTGTGGGTGTCTCTGAAGTTTGAGTTGTTTTAGTAGTTTCAGGTGTAGTTGTGAAAGTGAAAGGTGTTGAGGTTGAGTCACATTCAGTAACAATTCTTATTATTTCCCCATTGGAGTCACACAGAGCAGTGAAACATACACCATTCCCATCTGTGGTTTTGTAAATGTCCGATCCACGTGGATATACCTTCCCATTATAGAAACAGTCTTTACATTCTTCCTCTGTGACACACTTCATAGTCTCCTCCCTGAAATATGGCCTCTCTGAAGGGCACTGAAGAAAACATCCTAAAAGTATAAATAAAATAGTCTGATTAGACTGAAAAACAAGACACCATTAAAAACGTTTGTTGACACTTTGGTACCTACAGTATGTAATAGTGTTACACTAAAATTCTTATTTCTTACCCTCAAGGGGAGGAATTTGATCAGAGCAAGTTCCTGAGGGGTTTTTGCAGGTTTTCATGCAAGTGGATCCACAGGGTTTATAGTGCCACTCACATTCTCCTGGAGCGTTGTAGTAGTCACAGAACAAAGCTGCAAGAACAATCACTTGAGTTGAATGGTTATATTTGAGAGTTATTTCATCTATGGGCACATTTATGCCCCATAAAGCTAAGGATTTAAACTTTCTTCTGTTTATGAAATAAATATTTAATTACTTATATGTATGTACTTCTATGTATAGATTTAGTTGTTTCCTTGTTCCACACACAAATATATGATACTATGATATAAATAACTACAAATAATTTAATAATTATCCAGATTTATTGTGTGAAAATTTGGAAATCAATAAATGCATTCCTCTCCCAAGTTATTTGTTTGCATTTTATAGGCGAAATTAATTATAGAAATAATAGGACTTACGGCAAAAGTCTGGTCTTCGCCATGCCACACAAGCACCTCTTTTACGGCATTCAGCAGCGTAAGCTGCCACTGCAGTACAGAGACAATCACAGTCACCCCCACTGTCACATGCACAGGTGTCCCTTACACATGCATCATAGTATGGACCAGAATCTACCTAGAGACAGGAAAATCAGACACAGAACTGTAAGGGTTAGATAACTGCACTAGATGTAATGCATTAAATTGTAAATTACTAAACTATACACATTCATTCTATTTCAGTGATGATTGATTATTTTGTTCTCAATTTGTTACTTACAAGTGAATGGCAGTCTGTAAAGACAGGGGTTGTGATGATTATGCATTGTTTGATAGCCCAGGCACGTCGATGTGGATTTGCGTCACAAGGATGCATCACGTTTGTCACATCAGGACAGTTTGGATTCACTTTCCAGCTATTCCCAAAATCTTCTGGATCTGTCACCACTTCTCCATTGTGCTTCATAAAGTCATTGTTCGCATTACCATCAAAGTTTCCACAGAGTCCACACACCTTGCTCTGCCATAGAGATCATATAGATTTTTAGTAGATGAACAAAGCTCTTGTCTATGGGTGTACCTTTAATGAATGCATACCTTTAATTTGTGATTGAGTTGGATCATCACACTTGTTTTTTTATCCCAAATTAAGTTCAAAAGACCTTTAACCTCTATGACAACATATATGCCTGCAGAAGTAATTTTATATCTGTACTCCGTGCCGTTGCTTTCAACAACCTTCACATCTTCCTCCTCAGATAAAATCATCTCGTATTTCTGTGGGATATGAAAAGTGGCTTAACATGTTTTATATTGCACATTTTAGCTCTGCTAATGCACCTGTGCTGACTCTGAGCTATGAAATAACCTCACCCCAAAGAACAGATTGATGGACTTGGAGCAAATGGAGCTGGTGGTGGCACAAGGGATGTTCTCTGTGACCAGGCGGAAGGAGGGACTGGGGTTCATATCGCAATAATCCTAGAGGGGTTACACACATCAGAGATATTCCAGGTTATAATGCCCCAGATAATTATCACCTAAAACCTCTTATATAAAATCTGATGTTTTTCATGCTATTTTATTGCAAGCCTATTTATTGTGTCAGATATCTGTATATCGACTTTTTTTCCCCCATTGGGACAGTCAAACATACATGGGCGATGGTGTGTTCACAGTCTCCGTGGAAGGAATATCTTCTGCCATCAAAAGTCCTGAAATGACCTTCACCGTAGATGGTACAGGTGCCATAGCACGCCTTTTCAGTACAAGTCCACATTCCATTTGTGCATGTGCTGAAATATAGAGTAAATTGACAAAATAAAAAACTACCCCAAATTTCTTTATTTTATTTACTTGTTTCTGAAGGTTAGAACTCCATGGGCCTAAACTGTCATGTAAAACCTTGCTACGATCAGTATGACCAAATATAATGATTTCTGTTTTCTGTACATTTAACCATATAAGATTATTGGAAATGCACATCTTTACACTATACTTGTAGAAGTGTGCCTCAAGTGTGTCTAAATTTCTGACTAGTAGTGGAGATGTTAAATGATAGTACAAGGATGGCACTGGGATAACATGGTTTATAACAACTGTGATTAGCTCACCAGGTGTTACAGTCCTGTTGAACTTGCTCTCCAGGTGAATAGGTGACTCCATTATGGGTACATGGACATTTTTCCATCTTCACACACCCACCTTTTCCATCAGCCAGAAGGTCATCTCGACACATACACCCTGATGTACACCCCATGCTCACCTATTGCCAAGACAAAATTGGTAAGCCATCCTTTCCCTGTATCACAAGATTTCTATTGCATGTTATCTACACTGTATATCAGGTTTGTGTACCATTCAGAGCTGGCATGAAAATGCTACATTTGAAATTGAGTAAGCAAACAGGATTTCATGAAATACATAAAAATGCTGTAACTGATCTTTTCATTCATTCAGTTATTCATGTATTCCATTCTTCCAACTCACACAGTTGTTTGGGTCTTGCTTTTCACATGTCCTTTGACACTCCGTTCCTTTTTCTCCATGATTTGAGCATTTGAAGAATGTCATTGGAGCCACACAGTCTAAAAACACAAAAGGCATATGGATGAGGTGGAGAAAATTAGCACACATCATAGCAGCGGTGACTCAAGTTTGAATTTAAATGGTAGTATTGCGGAAGAGCTAATTGCAGATCACCTTTTTGACTGGAGCAGTGCAGTTTGCCAAGGTTACAGGTGCTGTAATTTGAACAAACAGTGCAAATAATTGCTAAATCTACCATTAATAGTTAACAATTCATGTCAATATTGTTAAATTGTTTGCCATTTGGGCTATTGAAAACAAAAAATGTAAAAAAATGACTCCGAAAAAAGTTAATAGATACATTATGCGCAGTGTTGGGCAAGTTACTCTGAAAATGTAATCAAATTACTGATTACTGATTACTCCTTTTAAAAGTAATCACGTTACTGTTCTGATTACTTTATTTCAAACGTAATTAGTAACATTACTAGTTACGTTACTTTTTTCTCCATGAAATTTATGAAATCCCAGAACACTGTTATTTTTAACTAAAGCAAGCGGCTGCTGCGTGCATGGTTCGGCATGGCAGAATGCCAGCAAAGAGCGCTACATTTATAATATCTAAAAGACATCTCAGTTCATCGAAATCTCACAAATCTCTGTTATAACACAACAAATATATCATGAATAAGCATAATGAATCTTTCATAATGTCTACAATTCGTGTGTTATAATGAGAGGATTCGTGAACACGTAAATTTCAGCACTGCATTCCTCAACGCTGCAAACACGTGTTATAGACTAAATAGAAACTGTGCATACGCTTGCACCTGTTAATCGTTTATATTTTATATTAGTTCATGTAGCTTTTGTGCAATAGATGAATAACAATTTATTTGTTTTAGATATTGTATGTTTAGATATTTCTATTTTGCGGGAGTCCCGTGAATCATTTTATTCTCCCGCATC